CATCTACGAGCACCCTATATAGCGTTACTTGCATTGCACCACTTTCAATGTCCCACCCAGGTGGATAAGCTAAATGTCTTTAATTATTTCCAAAAAAAGAAAGAAAAAAACATAACTCGTCACGTACTGATACTTGAATGCGCATCGTCACAGAGGTGAAGATCGACTTTTCTGATATGCAGATGATGTGATGTCTGATCAAAATCGAAAGCTCGATACGTGTTTGATATGGTTACAGCCTGACCATTGGGAGTAATTGTTTCTACTGGTTTTGAAGGTATCGTGGCTACCTGAACAACACTATGGAATAATCATAACTATAGCGAAAAGGTGGGAAAAACACACTGGTGGCGGATAGTCTTTTTCACACTGTCTAACTAGGCTCATTAGATATGAAGAGAATGCAATAGCAGATCGAAGTTGTGGTAAAGTTGCAACCCATAAGATATCCTCAAGAAGCATATGAATTTGAGCATTCACAACAGTTCCATCTGGAATCAGTTGCGCTTAGGTGACAACAGCGTAAAACAAAGTATAAAGTGGTCTAACGTAAAACAAGAAAGAAAATACGTAGTACAAAACGGAATTACCGTTAGTGTTCTTCTTAAGAGCTAGCCGGATTTTGCCACCACTAGTGATTAACCTGAGAGGGGCATTAATTGTACATCGTTTCTCGTTTCTGTCCGCTTTCGCCGACGCCTCGATTCGAAGCAGTTGCCAAGCAATCTAAATTACCTATTATTGCATTACTTTGAAAAAATAAAGTTCATATTCATATACTATACTCAGAACATGTGAAGCAGCACTAGTGTATCGAGGATTGTCTACATCTCAGTAAGCTCATGTTTACAGAATGTCAAATACATGCATTCTACTACCGCAACGCTAACGACGTTCACATCTCTGATAACTGTAGTCCAGCAAATTAAAGCTGGAACGGTTTCATGCCAACGGAACATAATTAAATTTCACTTAGTTCAAGAGTAAACACCTCCAGTAGTTGTGTGATTTGAAGGGCATTTCTACATCGCATTCATTTTTCCAGTATTTTGTTTTGTTTTCCGATCTAGATTACGTGCTCTATGAGTTTCAAGGAAGATGCTGCAAGAAAAAATCTTGCTCTCCTGCAAAAATCCCGAGAGAGCGCAAAGATAAGAGAGAATCTCAGATAAAGTTTCGCGATCTTTATATCTGAGCTCTTGCAATCTCCTCCATGGAACATGCATGGCACAAACACGAATGAAGACGAGATATTTCTAAACTTCCTAGAGGATCGCTTTCATGCTCAAAGGAAAATTGTATGATGTGGCATAGCGTAGCGAGAAGATATAGGTGTTG